AAAGCTGATTTGTCTTCCCTGAAGTGGACATCCGGGCTCACGTTAATCCTCCAGACTCCTCACACATCTGAGAAATGTAACAAGGACTTTAACCTTCTGGAGAAAGACATCAGAAGTGATATTTTTACTGCTGACCAGGCAGTTTTCATTGCTCTTCTCACTGAGCTTGTGTGAGGTAAAAATCACAAGTCCCACCCCTCTCCTCGTCCCTGGAGCAGGCTTAAATTTAGCTGCTGTCTTCTAATTGTCATTTGTTCCCGTTATCACTTTTTTCCATTCTTGCTGTTGTTTCAGTAAGTTATTCAGTTTTTTTTGTCTCCAGCTCCCTCTCCCTCATCTCTCCCTGTCACTTTTCACGGAGCAGCTCTCTTTCCTCTCTTTGTTTTTGTTTTCTTCAGTCTGAACTTGCTGTCACGGCTTTTTAGCAGCAGAATTCTCATGACTCCAACGGTTAATGGTGCCAAGTGAGCACTATGACATTTGGCTCAAATGACAAAAAAGGCAAACAAGAGGAAAAAGTGCACTGTGGTCTTTTTATTTGAGATTTTCTTTGCTGTTGACAGTGTTTCGGGGTACGTTCAACCCCGTTCTTCACATTTCATTTCATCCCATCCACACAGACGGACAGAAGGAGAACAAATGTTTACTGTATTTTTCAGCCTATAAGTCACAGTTTTTTTGTATAATTTGCATGCCCTGTGACTTATACACAGAAGCAACTTATTTATGGATGTTTTTTCCATATTTATAAAACAATTTTTGGCTGAGATATAACCGTTTTCATTCATACTGACTAAAAATATTGAACACAACCATTTTCAGCCGCTAGATGGCACTAGAGTAGTATGGCATGCCATTGTGTCATGTAATAGGTAAAAGTGGCTATTAATGACACAATTGGCTTGTCATACTTCGTCCAGCTTGCCTGGAGCAAACCTCAAATCAGCTGCATTTCGTTGCGCCGCCCCAGCAAAATGCAGCTGATTTGACCATTGAAGTGCATTTATTGAGTAAAAGTTCAACCGAGACACACCTTTACTAAAAAGTCGAGCAAACAAACAATTGTTTTTAGGTGGTTATCTTGTTTGATTTTGAAGAAATGCACAGTGAGTCCTCCCATGCACGATCCTACTTCAGTGTATCGGCTTTTGAAGTGCAGCTGATTTGACTGTCAAAGTCATTAATTAAGGTAAATTAGACTGAGACTCACCTTTGCTATAATTCTGAGCAAACAAATATTTGTTTATAAGCGTTAATCTTGTTAAATTCTCGTTAAAGTCCTCCCGTGCATGCTCCCACGACTGCCATTTGATAGCCAATCGATTTTTGGCACAACACCGGCCCACATTTCCGGGTTGTCAGCGGTGACGCGTGATAGATGTGACTTATACACCGAAGTGACGTGTATGGCGGAAAGTACGGTAGTTTGTCTCTGAATGTCAGAGCAGAAATATGAAGGATAGGAAGAAGTTTTGGTTTAAATCTACCCATTTAAAAAGTCATGGCATTTCAACCAGTTTCATGATTTTCAATTCCACTCACTGGTTTAACAATCATAAGAAAAGAACAGTTTTTCATTGTTGCCTGTTCTTATCAGACTTTTGGACGGTCATGTCAGAAGTAAACAGCAAACACACAGTTTGTTGATTAGTTTTCAGTAAATGTTGTTTCGTAAGAAAAACTAGAGACAAAGAGTGGGATAATCCTCACATATCTCCACGGACCAGCCAGCGTGATGAACGACTCCACAGATTTTCTATGGGGCTTTAAACGCCTGTTGGCTGCTGCTGCTTTCAAACTTTTGTTCTTATTTATGGAGTCAAAATTATAAACGCTGGAAGTTGGAGTTGGACTGAGCTGACCCGGAGTCATCAGACCAAAGCAGAAGTGTTAAATGTCCAACATACTACAAACATTCAGATTAAATGTGAACATCTGGTCTTGGTAAGCAACTCCAGAGTGTTATTTAAGCAGTTTAACGTCTTTGGTCCTTCGTTCCATCACATGTTGTAGTTTATTTTGACTCAGCTGATTCTGCTGCTGAGCTAGTACCTGGTTTCTGTCAGGATGACTGGACGAAGGATCGAAATATATGCGAGAAGGCAGGCGATGATGCAGAACAAACTAAGTTTACTGCAGCTCCAGAGGGGTAATTAAACAGGGCTAAACATTCATCCATTTTCTGTCGGGGGGG